GTTTAGTCCACTTTTGTATCCTTCCCTTCAAGGCTCAGGGGTCCAAGATTATCTTCTGTGTCTGTGTTAATTGGTTTCCCTTTTCTTTGTTGAAGAGCGTCTGTGCAGTCCTTGTGCCTAGTTCGCCATCTTGCCGGAACCTCAATATGCACAAAATTATTCTTGTACTTTTAACAATACTTTCTTGTAAAATGAGACTAGTATTATCTTAATATTAATAGAATGCATGAGGTCTGTCCTGTGCATTCAGAAAATGTTATCTTGAACCTATCATATATACCTAACAAAAGGACAGCAAGCAGAAAGAACAGGTAACAGCAGCTGTGATTTACTTTGATCTCCTCGTCAAAGGAAAGGCTTCTTTTCCACCATGCCCATCCTCATTGTGACCAATTAGACATATGTGTAGGAAGACTATATCTGCTGTAATCTGTGGCTACAATACTGAGCTAGACTAAAAAACCCATAATCCTTGCCTCGTACTTACTAACAGAATACTCTACCCAATTGAGTTGATCAGCTAAGATCACCTGAACATACCTGGGATCTGGAACTTAATGCATTGAACATGTCAAAAAACACAAAGCAGGTGAAGGTCATCGTTGTGTCTCGAGGTGTTATCACATTGTCTCGTAGCTGTCGAGGGGGAAAATGAATTTTCAGGGGTTGAATTTAATGAACAAATATTTTCTTCCACTTAGGAGGAACTAGCTTTAATATATGAAACATAAAACCTATCCAAATTTCTTATGAGCCATTTAAATAAGTCATCTGTGAACAGCTGTAATGAAAAGCGAAAATCTTTCCATGAACTAAGTTAAATATTAAAACAATTTACTTTTTTAATGACAGTGAAGTAACTTTATTAAAAACTCTCAGATTTCCTAATTTCTTCCCAAATTTTCGTATTGTAATTTCTACTTTGATACTTCTCTGTAAATACTTATTCTAATATTATTCTACCAACCCATAAAGATTAAAATCAAACTGTTTTAAAATATTTTCACTATTATATTTCTCAAAGAGCTCTCCTAAAGTTCCAGCCTTCAGTGTAACCAATGAACAACTTTAAGAATTCCATCATACAGAATGTTGTTAATAAAGCAGCTTATTCAGTCACCATACCTCCCGCCAGAAGACAAACAAAGTCCCGCACACAATGATTATTGATGAAACAAGTATTTTAAGTATCAAGTTTTTGGTCAAAATGCTGTCCTTCCAGTTGCGTGGAGGTTTACGAATGACATCTTTATCCACTGGCTCTACTCCAAGGCTTAAAAGCAAACAGAAAAGTATACTGAAGTTTCTAAGTTTGGATTTGTTACCTTCACAACCTCAACAGCCTCAATTATCCAGTAAACTAAAAGCTTTCGGGGGGGGGGGGTGTTTGTGTGTTTGGATGGGACATGCTGCATCATGAAGAAATTCTTAGCTATGATTACTCAAAAACAACCAGTTGATTATGTCACTGCCTTTCTCCTCTTTTACTCTATTTGGCAGTTTCCCAGGGACCTGGCAGTCAAATTTTGGGGAAAAAAAAATCCATTTACATGTAAGTTTATTTGTTTCAGATAAATGGCCTGAGATACATGACCTATCAATCAGGCTCGGAACTCTCTTCTGTGCAAGGAGATTTTGACTAGGACAACTGGTGCAACTGCCAATGAGAGGTATCAGTCACTATTCCTTTGAAGTTGGGAAGTGACATATATGGCCTCAATGTTATAAAAGAGAACAGTTTGGCCCTTAGACACTTCAATACATGTCTAAAATTGACAAAAGAATCTAAGTAGTAACACTGAACTCAGAGATTATGCCTTACATTCCATTTTTAGAAATAAAAAAGCTTACTTCCTCACATTAAAAGACAGTGATGAATCTGCAAAATGTAACTTGGATGAATTTGGAGGCCATTATGCTGAGTGAAATTAGTCAATCAGAAAAGGCCAAACACCGTATGAGACCATTATTATAAAAGGTCAAGAAAATGGTTTCAGAAAAAAAGAAATATTCTTTGATGGTAAGACTGGGGGTGGGTGGGGATGGGAGGGTAAATCACTGCCTCGACAGGGTAAATACGTATTAAATGGGGTGAAGGCAAAAAAAGCTGAGTTTCTGGAGGTAGTGATGACTATGCCTGTTTCCTGATCTGTTCTCAAACTAAGGCTGATTTACTACAGTAAAGGTTCAAATCTATACTGAATGAAAGAATATCCAAAAAGAATACATTATGTACACATAATCACATAATTTATAACGAGTTTGTTGCTGCAAAGTTTTCTGATGCCATTCATCAATGAAGCTTTTAAAAGTTAATTATCAGGGTATCACACCTTTCTCATCTTTCCAGTTCACACATGGAAAAAACTCTTACCTCTGAGCTGGAGGTCCATCCATGATAATATTGATCCACAAAATCTGCATGGCATTGAGAGGATTAGGAAAGTTCATTAATGTAGCCAGTGAGATTAAAGTTAATGCTGCTATACTCCTGTTGAAAAAAAGTCATTTAAAAATCTGTCAGCAATGTGAATTCCTCCCACTTGTATAGCACATTTTTAGCACTTACAAACTTCATGTTACCACTATGCTTAAAGTTTGTTTGTGGGGTAATCAAAGCTTCATTCATGTGAACATTCTGAAACTAAGACTTAACCTGTACAATCCATAGTATTTTAACATAGATTTTGAAGAAAGATATTTAGACAACAGTATATAAAGAAATGCTTTAAAACTTGAATTCAGAATAGCTGTTGCTATATAACAGTTTAAAAGATATTTTGGTAAATGTGTTTTGACCACAGAAAAGCCCTTTTACTTTTAGAAAGAGATACCAAGAAGAAACACTGGTATTTGACTACCTTTCCAGAGCTATTTCATGAGTTATTAAGTAATCACAAAAGTGTTCATAATATAGACATTAGATTTCATTTAACCTACTGATCATGTTATTTTATATTTCAGAATATAATTCATTTTCATTTTGAAAATCTTACATATAAACAACCCTCAGAAAGAACCCAAAAGCTTCCAAGCATTCTGGTTGAACTATAAATACAATTTGTCTAGACAATCCATCACAACAAACTTATTACAAACTTACGTGCTTAGTTGGAATCTAACAAAGTTTTTAATGTTGTTATAAATCCCTTTACCCTCTTCAATTGCTGACCTAAAATTTTAAAAAAATACAGTGAGAAATATTATATACAAATAATGATGTTGTTGTTGTTATGTGCCGTCGAGTCGGACCAGACTCATAGTGACCCTCCTTGGGTTTCCGAGGCAGTATCACTACAGAAGTAGATTGCCCAACCTTCCTTCTGAGGAGTGGCTGGTGGGTTTGAACCGCCAGCCTTCTGGTTAGCAGCCAAGTGCCTTAGGCACTACGCTACCTATACTAAAACGTTATACAGCAAATTTTAAAAATAAATTACCAACTGATAAATGAATCAATGAAAAATCTATTACTTTGTCTATATAATTAAGATTAGGAAAAAAAATAGAGAACATTTATTTTAGCAAGGAATTAAAGTTAAACCTACTAAGCATTATCTGAACTAATTTCATTACATAACATTCAAATTTTTATTCTTAAATATATTTCAACATTAAAATCATATACTGTCTTTCCATACAAATACCTGGTTTATAATATTAAAATGATCATCTTTATCCCTCTAGCTTCATTTTCCCTAGAGGTACAAGATGCATGGTAGGAATAAAATCAATGTATGTCAGGAACTAAATGGTAAATGAATATTTAAGAATTATGGAATTTAAGTCTGTTGTCCTGCCAGTTAGATACATATGCAGAGAAATTACATAAAGAATGTGCTTTACAAGGATTCATGTAAATTCTCTCATTCATTTGGTTGAATCTAAGAAAATGTGTCTATTAAATAACTTCCCTTTCTTCCAAGATCTGTATATAATTCTAAAAACTGAAAGAAAAGGGTTATATCCTTTAAGAACCTGGCAAATGTTTGGGAATCCTGAGCTCCTATATGCTGGCACTTCAGGTCACAAGAGATAATAAAGCAGCCTGGGACATGTAACCAGCACATATCACAGAATGGAGTTAAGGCTCATGTGATCCAACAGGTGATGGATCATCAAACAGAAACTCAGATAAGCCCCACCTGAACACTGAACTGACACCGCCCTGTGTTACACTGGAGACTTAAATCAATCAGAAACTGGCTGAAACAGACATTAGTTCTGAAAAATTTAAAATTTAATAAATTATATCATGAAACCAGGGCAACATGAAGGATTACTGACATAAGAAAACAGATATGAATGTAAACTTGACTAATTTTTAATACTTATAAAACCATACATATGCATATTTCTGACAGCCTAAATTGAACTAGAATAAAGAATAAATTTGCTACACTCAAGGAAACCAAACTCACTGCCACTGAGCTGATTTAGACTCACAGAAACCCTTCCCTGGATTTCCAAGGCAGTATCTCTATGGAAGTAGATTGCCCAATCTTCCTTCCAAGGTGTGGCTGGTGGGCGTGAACCGCCAGCCTTCTGGTTAGCACTAAAATGCCTTAGGCACTACACCACCAGACCTCCTAATTTGCTGTACTAGCAGCCAGAAAGGAAGATGGGGCAATCTACTACTGTAGTGATACTGCCTCAGAAACCCAAGGAGGGGTAGCTATGAGTTGGGTCCAACTCGACGGCAAACAACAACAGTAGCCAGAAAAATGTGACTAGTACCAAATAAATATTTTTCAAATGAAAGGCTTCAATATTTTTGATGCCCTCTCCATTCTATACAAATCATTTTCTCCAGAATTATAGGTCTTAAGATAAGATTAATTAATCTAGTAAATGGTTTGTTGTTGTTATGTGCCATCGAGTCAGACGTGACTCATAGCGACCCCTCCTTTGGTTGATTGCCCAATCTTCCTTCCGAGGAGTGGCTGGTGGGTTTGAACCTCCAGCCTTCTGGTTAGCAGTCAAGTGCCTTAAGTACTATGCTACCAGAGCTCCTTGTAAACGGTTTACTCAATGTTTAAATACTGCTAATTCTTTCCCAGTCCAATTACCTGAGCATGAGGTATGAGAACAAAGTGGGAAGATTCAATGAAACAAAACTTACATTATGGTTTGGAAATCATCATCCACCAGGATCATGTCTGCTGCCTCTTTGCAAACATCTGTGCCACTCTGGCCCATTGCAATTCCAATGTCAGCAGCTTTCAGTGCAACTGCATCATTTACACCATCTCCTGTCATGGCTACAACTGACCCGTTCTTCTGTAAAGACTGAAGGAGGATAGAAGGGGGTTCTGATAAAAATGTTGCTTCCAAAAAGAAAAAGGGATAACCAAATCCTCTGCCAACTATTTTCTTCACATCATTAAGATGAGAAATAAAAGACTACTTTCTTAATTTTTATTGTGATTTGGGTGAAAGTTCACAGAGCAAGTTCCTTTCCATACAGCAGTTCACATACACTTTTGTCTCATGACACTGACTGCAATTTTCCACAATGCAACAGCTCCTCCCCTTCTTCCTCCCCATAGTTACCTCCTTCCTGTGACCTTCCCTCCCATGCACTTCTGCCCACCAGCTGTCCTCCCTGTGCATACACAACCCTTCTATTCTCCCGTGATCGATCTCCCCAAGGAGTGTATCTACCTAATGTAAATGTTCACCTCATATGCCTGTCTTTTGTTTGGCTGGAAGCCACAGGAGTGGGTTCAACTCCTCACCTGAATGAAGGACAGCTAAGGGCCATAGTCTCAGTGGTTTCATGAGGCTCTATCAAATCAGCAAACCTGCTTTTTTTTTTTTTT